TCAAAATGTAAAAATAACGTTTTCCTTTCGCCGAACAATTAATACGCAAATTTATGCAGATCTGCCTGAGCCACTGAAACCCATGTGATTAATCAAGCCAACCAGACGACAGCACCAAGAAGAATCTAACAACCACATCTATATCTAGGGATGACAGCCTCCAGGTGGGACCTGGGGATCCCCTGGAATTACAGCCTATCTCCAGACTACAGAGATCAGTCCCCCTGGACAAAACGAATGCTCTGGACAGTGGACTGTGTGGCCTTGTACCCCACTGAGGTCCCTGCCCTCCCCAGGCTCCACCCCCAAATCTTCAAAAGTGTTTCCCAACCTGGATCTGACAGCCCTACCCCCACCCATCCCCTGCCAGTACGTTTTCCATTATTCCGTGAGGCCTTCAGTCGTCAGCCCCCCCCCCCCAATTTCTGCTTTGGTGGAAGGAAAACAAACTCCTGCTCTGGCGTACAACCTGCAGCAGACAGTGATGCTTGGAACTCTGTAGGAGCCACCCCTCATTGAGAAAAGGTCCAGGTGCCTACCTTCAAATGGAAACTGAGTGTCTAATACCTACCACATCCTGCAATAGGATTTTCTCTGTCGTCACTACACGGCCAGTGAGAGAAGCCTGGCACCCAAGCTGCAGTCCCCAGGTCTCCAACTCTAAGCGGGCATCTTTGTTTCTGCAAGAAAGCATTTCACCCCGAGGTTAGCTATTTACTTCATTGATACTCGCCTCTCTTACCAATGTGAATCCAAAGTGGCTCATGTTGTTCTCTCTTCCACTTTATGTATTTTTTTCCAGCCGAAATTAAGTCAAAAAATCGAATTATAGACTATGTCCCCCCCCTAATTTCCACAGCCACAAATTTTAAAAAAGAGACAGCTGGGTGTAGACCATGACTTGGGAGAGCCAGGTTCGAATCCACACACTGCCATGGAAGCTCACTAGGAGCTCCTGAGCCAAGCGCTCTGTCTCAGCTTGATCGTTCTCACAGGATGGCAGTTGTGAGGATAAAAAGGAGAAGGGGAGGACAATTTGGTAGGCTGCCCTGGGGTCTCCACTGGGGAGAAAAGCCGGAAATAGATCTCATCAGGTATCAGAAGCTAAGCAGGGTTGGCCCCAGTTAATAGTGGAGGTCGGTGACCCTAGGCTGAAGGCTTCAGAGTTGTATCTGCCCTTTCTCCTGGAGTGACTTGCCTACAGACAAGTTACTGGCTGCTCCATGAGACTCTGTAGATCAAGGGAAGGCCCGGGAGAACTGAGTAACCCCCCCCAATGTCCTTTCAAGCTTGTCTCGGCCCTCCAGGGTAACTTGTTGGGCACTGCATGAAACAGGATGCTGGACTAGAAGGGCCACTGCTCTGACCCAACAGGGCTCTTGGTACGTAGCTAATCCCACACTAGCAATGCCCTTTTAGACATAGTTTCTGTAGAATCAGAAGGGTGCAACTTTACTCAGGATGGCACTGTAAACCTCAAAATACGCTGCAAAGAAAAGGAGCAGTGAACTCATTCACAAATCCTTGGTCTCCCCAGCCCACGCTCTGCTGTGGTCGCTGACTTAACACACTGCGCATGAGCTGAGAATCTAACGCTGCTCATCTGAGTCAGCACTGTCATATGAGGATACAGACACTGACACAAAGAAAGAAAAGTCACAAACATTAATTAAGCTTGCACTAATTAACAGATCAATTAATCTCCACAGACTTTTTTTTTCAGAACGTGCGTTTTCAAAACTGGAACTATAAAGTACTGAGACTGAGGCATCGCGTAGTGATTTCAACTCATACTTTATTCGTACATAGGAGATCTTGAGATGAAGCAGCCGGGCCAGAGGCCGGCTTATATCCCCGTAGCAAACCACACCCAAACACCCACCCACACCCATGATAGGATATTTACAGTGCACCCAAGTCCCATAGGTCAATTCTCGGATCCTAGCCGTCCAACAGGTATGCCCTAGGACAGTGATGGCGAACCTTTTAGAGACCGAGTGCCCAAACTGCGACCCCAAACCCACTTATTTATCGCAAAGTGCCAACACGGCAATTTAACCTGAATACTGAGGTTTTACTTTAGAAAAAACAACTCATACATTAACTTAAGATGATCCAAACAAAGTAAGGAAAGCAATCCCAAATGCTTTCGTTTACTTAAAATTATTTGGCAGAGAATTCGACACTTTAATGATGGTCTGGGCCTGGCTGGGGCGATGGCACGCGTGCCCACAGAGAGGGCTCTGAGTGCCACCTCTGGCACCCGTGCCGTAGGTTCGCCACCACTGCCCTAGGATCTGTTTGGGCTAATGTATCTGGAAGCGAAGCTTAGGCCATTCGCATGGCCACGCGCGGACCCGACCGTGTGCACGGTTTCTCTGGGTATGCAACAGGAACTGAATACATTCTATCAACTGAGAAGGTTGTTCCTTCTGACAGCAGTTCTGTGGAACCATTAACATGGATCTCAGGCTCTTTAAAGGGAAAAATGTTCTTTGTATATTTAAAAATAACTCTGTGTCGTAACTGGTTAAAGGTAAAGGTTCCCTTGCTCGAAAGCCAGTCGAATCCGACTCTAGGGTTGCGGTGCTCATCTCCGTTTCAAAGCTGAATTTCAAAGCCGAAGAGCCAGTGCTGTCCGAAGACATTTCCGTGGTCATGTGGCCGGCTGTTACCTTCCCACCAAAACGGTACCTATTTATCTGCTTGCAATTTCTTGCTTTTGAACTGCTAGTTTGGCAGGAGCTGGAACTAGAGACGGGAGCTCACTCCATCATGCGGTGCACTCGGGTCTCGAACTGCTGAACTACCGACCTTCCACAGCCTGCAGTTCAGCGTCTTAACCACTTAAGCCACCGCAGCTCCCGTAACTGGTTACTGTACTTTAACTCCATCTAGGGGTTGCAGATATAGAATAAACCTCCTAAGTATCTCGTGGAGTCATTAGGCCACGGACTGCCAACGTGTGTTCACTGTAATAACCGCTAATCCAAGAAGGACAGGATATAAATGTTCCTCTCTTCTTGCCTCTTTTTCACTACACAAAGATCAAGGCTACTTTAAAAAACTGTAAAAGGACTTTGTTTAATTTCCATAATGGGGGGGGGGAGGGGAAATGAAGGACATCAGTGCAGGAAACAGGGGGAGAAAACTTGAAAAAGATGCCCAGAATACATGTGTCTCGATGTAATTTATGTCCCAAAGCTTCATTTATGCGACATGTATTATGGAAGATGGTTCTAAGTAATGTATGGATGTATGTGCAGTCAAGGCACAACCGACTTATGGCAACCCCAGCAAGGGGCTCTCAAGGCAAGTGAGAAGCAGAGGTGGTTTGCCATTGCCTTCCTCTGCAGTCTTTGGGTGATTCTGCCCCTGGCATTCGCTCCACATTTTCTCAACACTGAACCACATTCAAATACCCCGGGGGCAATGCCGTACTGCCTACAAAGTCACCCCGAATGGCCATAAATCTATGCAGAAGGTACCATAAAATCCGACGATCAAAGAAAGCGAAAGCGGCATGCAGTGCAGAGAGGAATTTCTGTTCCAAGGTGGGTGTGGTAAAAGAGCTGAGGGAAAAGCCAATGCAGAATCGCCCTTTCTTGGTGGCCTCCCATCCAAGTACCGACCCTGCTTAGTTTCTGGGTTATGAGGAGATCAGGCTACAGCATACCATGCCACATCACAGTGCAAACTTACATAAGCCTTTTAACAGAATCTCAGTTACCCCCAATGAACACATCATTTTCAGAATGTGCTGGGACACAATACATTGCTTATTCTAGACACCTTCTTTTGAGGATTTCCTTTACAAAAAACACCCCAGCTTCTATAATGCACAAAGAAAAAATTCTCACTTCAAATTTTTTTATACATCCAAACAAAACATCTGTGCAGTTGATCAGCATTTAAAGACTGTAAAGCAATAGCTGTGTCAGTCTTTATGGTGCCACTGGACTTACTAACAACATTGTTGCTAATTTCTGCTAGGGCTTCTGAGGAACATCCTCACAGGCAATGTTCCCTCTAAGCTGTGGAGTCTTGCGAGCAAAAATTTTAGTTTGTGAGCTGCTGGCATTAAAACTGTGAGTGAGCGATCCGTATAAATTAGTTTGCTCTGGAGCTGTTCTTCCTGAGCTAAGACAAAAATGTGTGAGCCGGAGGCTAGAAAACTGTGAGCTAGCTCACACTAACTCATCTTAGAGGGAACACTGCTCACACGGTGTTAAGATACCAGTCCAGGAAGGTGTATGTTTTTGTATCTACAAATCGGCAAGTTCTGAGTTCAAGTTATGCCTCTGTCATTCATCCTTTTTCCCCTTTGCGCTGTGGCAACACACTGGTCCCTTGAACACTGGGCCATCTGATTTCATTTTGAAATAACATCTCCCCCACCCCCGATTTGTACCCATGTGAGGCAAACTACATGACACATTTCTTCGCAAGTTTGCCCATGTTCCCTGCAGCCACTCAGCAGCTGTGGGGAACATCTTATAAAAGAAAAGAAAAAGAGCCCAAATGGGCTCAGAACTGTGCTGCAGAGGGAAGGAACGGCTGTTCCCTTCCCCTCAGCAGCTCTCTCATGTAAAAGCCATGTTGGGGGTGCTGATTTTACTGCTCCATATCCACATGCTCTATGTCAGGGGTGTCAAACATCCGGCCCTGGGGCCAGATCAGGCCCCCGGAGGGGTTCTATCAGGCCCGCAGTGGAACTGGCTGTCTTCTACTTCTTCTTTCAGTCCTGCTGCTGCTGTGTCATCATAGATTTGCAGTTTACAGCTACACACCTGAACAGCATACTCAAGACTACAACAGCACAGACATTTTGGTGCAATAATTCAGAGCAAGAGGTGTCAGTTATCAGACACTGTGAAATAAACAAAATATTGCAAGAGTGCTAATGTTTTAAGCATGTTTTAAAGTAACAAAATACCCTTTGTGTTTGTGTCCTTTATAAAGTTTATATCTCCGCTACCTGGCGTTACATTTTATGACACACATGGCCCAGCCCAGCAAGGCCTCATTTATGTCTGATCCGGCCCTCATAACAAATGAGTTCAACACCCCTGCTCTATGTGGAACAGCAAAATTGGCAAAATACCACCCCCATTTGGTTTTCGCACAAGAAAACTGCTTTGGGGAGAGGTAGGAGCCCCCCCCCCCCGGCAGCACCGTTCCAAGCCCATTTGTGCTTTCCTTTCTTATTTCAGAAGCAGTTCCCTGCAGCTGTTGTTTGACTGCAGGGAACACAGGCAAACTAGTGTAGTTTGCTGCTATATATCTGCCGAACAGGGGTTAACACTTGATGCAACTGACAGAGTGGACTTTGGTCTAAACTTGCGTGTATCTTGAAGGCATCAAAAGACCCTTTATCACTTTGGCTGCAACTGAAAAGCACTGCTTACCCCCTCTAGAAGAAGAAGAGATTGGATTTATACCCCGCCCTTCACTACCCAAAGGTGTCTCAGAGCAGCTTACAAACTCCTTCCCCTTCCCCTCCCCACAACAGACACCCTGTGAGATAGGTGGGGCTGAGAGAGCTCTAAAAGAACTGCTCTTTCAAGAACAGCTCTGACAGAACTATGGCTTGCCCAAGGTCATCCAGCAGCTGCAAGAGGAGGAGTGGGGAATCAAACCTGGTTCTCCCAGATTAGAGTCTGCACACTTAACGACTACACCAAACTGGCTCTAGAACTTAACATTCTGGAAAGTTTTCCCTGAAGACACGCAAACACAGCAAAAACACAAGTTGGTAATTTTATACGTCATAGCTGGGTGTTGTGACTACTATTATTCTAGCATAACAGGGTTGTCTAGTCTTGTATACTTAACAAGCTCCTTCAATGTCATTGTGAATTTCTAAAAATTTTAAAAATTCTTTACTCCTTGTTGGTGGATTCTGTTCTGTTGTTAATAACTATACAGTTACTGTTATATATTGAAAATTTAATAAAATATATTTAAAAAAACCAAAACACAAGTCGGGTCAGAAGGTCTCAAAACAGCAAGTCTTATGCAAAATTACCTCTGAATGTTGTCAGCAAGTCTAGACAGCCTCTGTTGTCTGTTTTGGGGGGACAGGTGAGTTTCCTGAGCCAAATCCTTCATCAAACGGAAATCAGAAGTTGCACGGCTGCTCAGGCCTAATGAAGGGTTTGGAAGGTTATTTAATGAGTTGGGAAATCAAATTTTGTGGCATGTGAGGGAGGAAAAAGCGGATAAAGAACACTGAGAATAGTTTGACTGACAGGCACATGGAAGAGATGGGAAAACGTGTCCCCTCCTCCAGCAGCGGTGACAGCCAAGTGATACCATCTGCAGCACTATCCAGTAATAATGTGAAATGAGAATTACATCGATCCAGTCTACACATTCAGAATAGTTGCACGCTATCACTCCAGAGGGGCAGAGATGAGCTGCATGCTTACATATGCACCGTTCTGTAATTCTGTAACCCTGGCCCTACTGCACCATTTACTGGCTGTCTTGTGCTGTCCGTCTGCAGCGTTTTACATCCTGCCATCTGCCTAGAATCCCAGCCAAGAAAGGCAGACTACGAAAAAGTAAATAAAGGTAAGTAAATAAATATGCCCCTCCCAAGCGTTTAACATACCTGCACTACCAGCACACAGTTTTAGGTGGGCAGCCGCGTTGGTCTGCAGTAGAAGAGCCAGATTCGAATTCAGCAACAACTTTAAGACCCTGGAAGTCTCGTTGGTATTTAAGGGGCTACTGGACTAAAATCTCGCTCTTCCACCAGCTTACAAACTCTCTTTTGTGCTTATTTTCAACCCAACAACGCTATGAATTTAGGAACATTACGGGAGGGGGTCGTGGCTCAGTGGCAGAGCATCTGCTTGGCATGCAGAAGGTCCCAGGTTCAATCTCCAGCATCTCCAGTCAAAAGGACCAGGTAGGAGGTAATGTGAAAGACCTCTGCCCAAGACCCTGGAGATCCGCTGCCAGTCACAATACTGACTTTGATGGACCAAGGGTCTGATTCAGTATAAGGCAGCTTCACGCATGTTCATGTGTGTGCAAAATGATTATTAGGGACTGGAGTGAGGTGCAAGTTTGACCCCCACCACCATCCTCAAACGTACCAACTTTACTCTCTCTCTCCTACGTCGGTTTTTATTCAGCCTTATTTCCAAGGAAGAAGAAGAAGAGGTTGGATTTATACCCCCCTTCACTTGGAGTCTCAGAGCAGCTTACAATCTCCTTTCCCTTCGCCTCCCCACTACAGACACCCTGTGAGATAGGTGGGGCTGAGAGACCTCTCTGGATAACTGCCCTTGAGAGAACAGCTCTGAGAGAACTTATGACTGAACCAAGGTCACACCAGCAGCTGCATGTGGGGGGGGGAGTGGGGAATCAAACCCGGTTCTCCCAGATTAGATTCTGTGCTCCTAACCACTACACCAAACTGGATACACGACACCAAACTGAAGTGTGAGCAACATATTTATTCGGGGAGGGGGGGACACACTCAACAGACCCAGACCTGCAAAGGTGCAGCTCTCTCATAACCCCCCACCCCCCGGTCCACTGTAAATGGATGCCATTCACTTCTTGGGAGGAAATAAGGCATTGCGTTTGGGGACTCGACTTTGAGGGCAACAAATGCCCAGCCAGTCAACTGGATCCCAGAAAACTATGGATGTAGCACGCATCTGTGTGGACTGCAAACGGAGATTCTTGTAATCCCCAAGAGATTCTTGTAATTCCAGAGATCCTTGTTAATTCTCAAGAGCTGGATTTTAAGTCCAGTGGTACCTCAGAGACTTACAGGATTTCCGGTGTATAAGCTTTTGAGGGTCAAAGCTCCCTTTCATCAGAGGTTCGACTCTTGAAAGCTTACATCCCGCAGATCTTGTTGTTCTCTACGGTGCTACTAGACTCAAATCTTAGCTCTTTTACTGCAGACCAGCACAGCTACCTTCCTGAAGCTGTAATTCCCAAGACCTCCCTTCATACACATGCCTCCAGGCACAAGGCTATAAAAGCGAGCTAACTGGCAGGGCAGAGGAAGGACTAAGGGCCAAAATACACAATATGTGTGACACAGGTCAGGGTAGACTGGGGGAATCTCACCTTCAAAGCGTCAGGTGGCTCTGTCCAGCTTGGGAGCTCTGTGAGAGGGGAAGAAGAACTTCAGAGTCTTCCCTCCCGTGCCATTTTCACCAGTGGAAACAGCAGCGGAAGGGGGCCAGCTTTCTCCTTCCTTGGGGTTCGGAGCGACTGAAGGCTTTGACGGTGGGTTTCCCTGATCATAAGTGGTGCTACAAGTTGGGTTGGGCACCAGTGACCCAACTTGCGTCACATGTATTGTATATTTGGCCCTAAGAGCAGGCACAGGTTATAGCAGCTGCAGGAAAGCTGTCAGAAGCACTGTTCTGCCTGGGAAGGTTATTATTATTAATTATTATTAGATTTCTAAACTGCCCTTCCCCTGGAAAACAGGACTCAGTGCGGTGTACATCAATAATAACAGCCATGTATTAATCTACAATCCGAACCATGAAAGTACCAGCCTGATAAGATGACGCTAAGCTACCGGTTGTGCCACTGCAGGTTAGGAGCAGTCAATTTGTATTATTTATTATTATTAGATTTCTAAACTGCCCTTCCCCTGGAAAACAGGACTCAGTGCGGTGTACATCAATAATAACAGCCATGTATTAATCTACAATCCGAACCATGAAAGTACCAGCCTGATAAGATGACGCTAAGCTACCGGTTGTGCCACTGCAGGTTAGGAGCAGTCAATTTGTAGGGAGTGATCAGATTTCTGTGCTTTAAACATTCACAACTCCCAACACAGTGCAGCAGCTTCAAATGGTCAGATCTTTGCAGATAACAGCTGTTTACCTGTGAGGTAGCATAACTCAGGCACCAGGAGGACCACACGGGGCTCAGCAGCGTCACCGCCGCGTTTCGTCTTCAACTGGCTAACAAGCATTGGTTGGTTTAGGTCACTCACAACTATATCATACTGCTGCTCAGGGAAAGACAAATAAAAAAAATAAGCAAGCCGCAGTCATGAAACATTCCAAATATTTGTGCACACGTGGTTGGGAGCAGTGCATGCAAAGCCCCATAGAAGTCAATGGAATGTAGCCCTTTCAGTGACTTTGCATGCATTAGCCCACAATGATCCTGTAAGGCAGCCTGGTATTGTTACCCCAAAAGTACAAAGAGGGAGTAGGGCAGCGCAGAGTGGATTGCCTAGACCACCTTGTGGGTTTGCAGAAGAGGCAAGATTCAACTGGGGCTTCTGTCCATAAGAGCTCACTCCCTTAGCCCCTCCCAGGTGTTTGGTCGCACTGTACTGTAAATTCACAGCCAGTGTTCCCTCTATGCTGTGCCAGCCTGCACTGATGCACGAACTCCCAGCCCCCAGTGCACAGATCCCCGTCTAAGAGCAGGGCAAGGAAACTCTCCCCCACTTCCCTCCCTTGGGGTTGTGGCTGTACCACAGCTTACCCCACCTGGCTCCCTCCATCACATGGGGGAGAAGAGGCACAAAGGCAAGCCTCCTCTCCCCTCCACCGGCCAAGGTCTCCTCCCTCCTTCCTTAAAGTGAACAACGGGTCCATCGTCAGCTGTTCGGTGTAAAGGGCAGGAAGCCATTTCAGTGCTCCCTTTTGCTTCCCCCGTTCAGAAGCGGGGAAGAGCGAAACGGAGAACTCTAATGGCTGCCCGCCCTTTAAAGCCATCAGCTGATGGGAGGGCCTCTCTTTTTTCTTCCTTCCCCTCTCCCCATCTATTTACTTTCTTTGCACCTCTCCCTTCCTTACTTTCTTTCCACCTCTCCCTTCCTTCCTTATTTTCTTCCTTTCTTTCTCTCTCTCCCTTTCTCCCCCCATCTGTTAGCTTTCTTTCCACCTCTCCTCTCCTTCCTTCCCTTCTTTCTTCCTTTCTGTGTTTTTCTTTAATGCAGGCTTGCTTAAAACTATAATCCTATTAGGTCTTTTGGCTCACGGAGTAGAATTTTGGCTCACGAGACTCAGCAGCTTAGAGGGAACATTGTACAGCTGCCTCCCTATGGGGATTTCCCCTTGCATGGAAAGCAGGAAGGTCCTGGAGATGGAGAAAGGGAAGGGGCAGGTTTATTGGCTGGAAGGGCCACAGCACAATTGCCACTGCATCTACACTTCTGCCGAGGAAGAACAGGTGCATGTGTGAGTCGTCAACTTCGTCTTGGGAAATTCCTGGAGTGGAGTGGTGGTGGTGTGCTGCCTGGGGAGGGCAGAGCTTGGGGAGGGGAGGGAGCTCATTGGGGATGTTATATCACTTTAGGACTTCCGTTTCTCCAAGACTTTATGGAACACCATCCTCTGAAGCTGCCACTTCCTTCAGAGGAATCAATCCCCATAGTCAAGAGATCAGTTGGAATTCTGGGAGAACGCCAACTGGAGGTTGGTAACCCTTGGCATGTGGACACTGTCCCTACCCACCCTCATGCCACTCTACGCTGCTACCATGGTTGAAGAGTGTGTTCTTGCATACCCTGTGTGGAAGCAGCTCGAGTCAAGCATTGGCTAGGCCTGTTGAGCCGCATCACCATTAAATGGGAGATTTGAGTCCCCTCAAAAACACTCCCTGTACTCCGCTGGGGGTGTCCATTTTATGAGAAGATCAGGAGTAGAGAGAGAACCAACTTTTATCTTTAGACTGAGGAATCCCTAAAAAGCTTCTCCAGAACACAACAGGAAAACCATGGAGAGTATATCATATGCTTCAGCCCATATTAATTCCATATCTGTATTACTTCTGACATTTACCAATCGTGATTGCTTTCCCATTGAACAATTTCAAGCTCAACAATAAAGAGCGGAGTGTTTTCCCAGCACCTGGAGTCTTCTTTACCTGCTTGTAATAATCTTCATAAGAGATCTGAGTGCCATCACGTTTCTGGAATGTATCTGTAGGCTTCACAGACCATTCAATATCATCAATCCGGTAGGTTTTATTGTTGTATCTACAAAGGGAGGGAGGGAGGCAAACTTATAAAAAGCTAAATACACTCTTGGATTTATGACAGGCCCAGGTGGATATAATGAACTTGTCTCTCTCCTCTTCCAATGTTCTGTCAGAACAGGAAGAGTTAAAAACCTGCATATATGGCACTGACGTACTCCTATCGAGGGCTATTTTTGGGCAGGAACGCACAGGAACGGAGTTCCGGCTGGCTCCCAAGTTGGCCACACCCAGCAGGAACTCATTAGCATAATAGGCAACACCCAACAGCAGAAACTCATTAGGATTGGCTACATTAGGGGTGTGTGGCCTAACATGCAAAGGAGTTCCTGCTCCAAAAAAAGCCCTGGGTTTTGACAACAAACAAGGTAAACAGAATAACAAGCAAAAGGTGGGTGTGGCTGGATGACCACACTTCTGGATACAAATATTTTCAATTTAAAAAATTAAATAAAACCACACAACAGGGTTGCAATTCTTGCCTCATCAGCCAGACGCATCCACAATATTTTCTCATTTTGTTTTTTAACGATTATTGCTTCTGGTGTTGGGTGTGGCCTATTATGCTAATGAGTTCCTGCTGGGCTTTTTCTACAAAAAGCGCCCTGCTCCTATCTGTGGTATAACACAGATGCCACACAAATCCATGCAAGATGGAGGATCCCATCACAGGATACAAATATTTTCAATTTAAAAAATTAAGTAAAACCACACAACAGTGCGAACAGGGTTGCAATTCTTGCCTCATCAGCCAGACGCATCCACAATATTTTCTCATTTTGTTTTTTAACGATTATTGCTTACATAAAGGTAAAGGTTCCCTTGCTCGAAAGCCAGTCGAGTCCGACTTTAGGGTTGTTGTTTCAAAGCCGAAGAGCCAGCGCTGTACGAAGGCGTTTCCGTGGTCCTGTGGCCGGCATGACTAAACACCAAGGCGCACGGAACGCTGTTACCTTCCCACCAAAGTGGTACCTATTTATCTACTTGCAATTTCTTGCTTTCGAACTGCTAGGTTGGCAGGAGCTGGAGCTAGAGACGGGAGCTCACTCCGTCATGCGGCACCCGGGTCTCGAACTGCCGAACTACCAACCTTCCTGGATGTGTTCTGTTGCTGTTACCCGCCCTGAACCCATTTGCAGGAAGGGCAGGATACAAGTCAAACAAATAAAAGGAAACAAATGCCACCACAATCCCTCTCTTGCCCTCTTTACCTGGTAAGAACTATAAGTCCCAACAGTTCTTTTTCACACGTCTCTGCAACACGTGCCATATCCACGCTGTTATAAATGCTGGTCATGAACTCCAGAACATTTTCATTACGGAGGACTTTATGGCTCACGTCTGCACAGAGCATAACTCTGTTTTCAAAGTGGCCAACGGACACAGCAAAGCCTGGCCAAAGAGTAAGCCTGAAAGGAGGAGGGGGAAAACAAGTCAGGTACTCGAGGTTGAGGAGCAAGAACATTAAAAAAATATATATAAATATTTATTGTACAGTGCACCTGGTCAAAGTTAAAAACAACATACACGCATAAAGAACAAAAATATCATATACAGCGATCAATTGGAGTTGCACGTACAGTGTAAACAGGATGTCAACAATGGTTTCTCATGAAACAATGGTTTCTCATGAAGATAGATAATCACTAAGCCAGACGTGTGTCGGCCCCGAGGGCCTTCTTCAATAATCGAAACCTTGTTGCACACACAGAGAAAGTAAAATACCTCTTCTTTTTGGGGGCCAGGCAGGTTTTAAATAATTCACTACAGGCTGAGGCTCCAAATAAGGAATGAAAGACAGGCCTGTATATCATAAGGAGCCGGCACTCTGGTATCTCTGAGCCAATGTTCTGTCCTTGGTCATAGTTATATTTCCTCGGTGTGTGCAAATCTGAACCAGAATTAAAAGTATAAAGAAATCAAAACAGAAGTCTGGGTTTAACAAAAGAATTTCATGACTAGACCATGCACAGGCTATCACAGTGTGGGAGAAAACCCTCTCTTCTAATTCAGACTATGAATGCTGTACAGGTCCCAAATTAGGAAGAGTCATTTTTTTAATCCTTTCTTCCCCCTCTAGATCCTAAATGGTAAGGGAGGGTCCACAGGGTGGTCTTGTTTGATAAACAACAGACATTCCTCAAGGGTACATTCAGAGAAAGAGCTGCCTCTTAACAGCAGGGCACATGCACTGCCACCAGAAAGTGCCAGCTTCAACCCCTGGCATCTCCAAGCAGGAGCCGACTGGGAAGTGAAAACAACCCTGGAACAAGCCAAGCCTCAGCAGTGCAAACAATGGGTATTAGCTCACCCAGGGTTTCCTCCTGAAACCTGGCAGCAGAGCAGGACAAGACAGCTGGTGAACTGACACCATTTCCTACTGCCAATGAAGGGCGTGACCCAAGTGACCCCTGAGGATCCGGCAGAGTCGCTCGGGTTTGGTTATGCTTGTTCCTGGACGCCAGGGGTCCCCTGCGGCAGAGGCCCACGGGGAATTCCCATGTTAAGTTAAATGGCCAGTCCGCCCCTGTCTCCAAGTTACAGGATCTTCTTGGCAAAAACCTTTCTCCACAGGAGTCCCCGAAGAGCTGCTGCCAGGCCACTGAAGACCACAAGATGACATCAGATGGACTTTACAGAAGATAGCTTCCTATGTTCATTAAGAGGGTTGTCCATACCAGAGGCTGAAATGAGTGCATGCATGATCAACACGAGGACATTACCCACGTAGTTCAGGAGCACTCACGTATCTCTGCCAGTGCTCCGACAGTTGCCAGGGAGCTTAATACTTCAGCAGAAAATAATATAGTAGGGCTGGAGAACCATGCACTGGTTATACTTTCCTCTGGACAAATCACAGTGGCACATTCCCATCAGAGACCCCAGCTGGTAACAGGAGTTGTCAGTGCTTAATGGATCAAATTGTAATCCTTGCTGGGGGATGGTTCACGCATTACAAAGCCCTTGCATCCCTCAAGCATCCCACTGGCCAGGTGTGCACTGAGTGTTCCATGCTGAAACTTACTTCCCAGGCACACAGGGCCCCCCGTTCAGCAGAAAATAATATAGTAGGGCTGGAGAACCTTGCACTGGTTATGCTTTCCTCTGGACAAATCACAGTGGCACATTCCCATCAGAGAGCCCAGCTGGTAACAGGAGTCAGTGCTTAATGGATCAAATTGTAATCCTTGCTGGGAGACGGTTCACACATTACAAAGTCCCTCAAACATCCCACTGGCATCCCTCAAACATCCCACTGGCCAGGTGTGCACTGAGAGTTCCATGCTGAAACTTATTTCCCAGGCACACAGGGCCCCCCAATTAAGATCAAGAACACGGGGTGTGGGAGTTTAAGCCTTTCCTTCATGCTGTTTTCCCCATGTGAAATAGCCCTGGAAAGCCACTATTTGACAATGCGGCAACAGGTACTTATGGGCTACAAGCTGTTTCCTCAATGCAGCAAACTTATGTGCAGTCAGTTACTACATGTAATACTCAAAGTGAGCAGTGACTCACAAAAGCTCATATCCTGCTACAAATTTTTGTTATTCTTTAAGAAGCTACTGGACTCTTGCTCTTTTCTACAGCTCTAGACAAACACAGCTATCCATCTTGACTTAGTCTTTCATGTTCTCTGAATTCCCTGCTTAGATTTTTTAAAAGTCTACAGCCCTTTTGTTGCAGAGATATGCCTACCGCTTATATCTCTGCAACTAATTCTATTATGTACTGCAAAAAAAATCCAAATAAAATATCGCACCAGTATCAGTTAATAAGATACACAACTGTAGAACTGCAAGGAATAGGGAACCAACTTACTTGTGCTGCGGTATCTCTATTGCATCCGAAGGACTGTAGAAGTTCCGTCCGATTTGGTGCATAGACAACTTTTTCAAAATCCTAAAATATTAACGTACATTTTTAAATACACCAAGCAGTGGGAGTGGGAATGGTAATATCATTTTCAAAAGTAATTCAATTTACACAAAACACATTTCCCAAAGCCAACTAGCCATTTGAACGAAAAACTGAACTTATGTGGAAACTGTTCAGGCTATAGAACTGTCAAAAGAATGCCGTTATGATAGCACTTCTGAACCAGAAGTAAGCTGCCGTCTAGTAAGTGTTTGTGCGTGTGTGTGTGTGGGGGGTCATACTGCAGCACAAATGCCACAAACTGAATCTGAAGAAGTGGGTTCTAGTCCATGAAATCTTATTCTGGAATAAAATCTGGTTAGTATTTAAGACGTCTCTAGACTTTTTCTAATGCCTTCTGTTAACAAATCAAAGTTGAATCAAGTCAACAGCACTCTGGCCAGAGTGAATGTTTTAATGAAGATTGGTGCCGTGGAAAGTTGCAGCCAACACAGGGTTTTTAAGGCAAGAGGCGAACAGAAGTGGTTCACCATTGCCTGCCTCTGCACAGCGACCCTGTCCTTCCTTGGTGATCTCCCATCCAATTACTCACGAGGGCTGACCTTGCTTAGTTTCTAAGATCAGACGAGACTAGGGGCCCCAGGGCCATCCAGGGCAGGGCTACTGAAGGTTAGAGTTTCTAAAAATATAGCACTCAAGGTTCCTCATTTACCATGCAATGAGGAAACAGCAACCAAAATTTGGGGAATAGGTTTTTTAAAACAAAATTAAAATAAATTTGTAGCAGGAACTCCTTTGCATATTAAGCGACACACCCCTAATGTAGCCAATCCTCGCAGCCAACACAGGGTTTTTAAGGCAAGAGGCGAACAGACACAGTTTGTTGGCAGCATGTGGAGAAACATTTTTAAAAGGCACTTAAACACATCAACAAAGGCTCTGGCAGTGCGGTTGTTGTAACTATTTAACATTTAAAACTGCTCTTGATATGAAACATAGAGGCCATCTGGGTGAAAAGACTTGACTGAACTTCACAAACACAGTGACAACCAAACACAAAGTGCAAGACGCGGTAAAGGAATAGGATAGATTGCTGAAGGCACTGTTGTCCTCACCAACACCCGTTTTGTTGTTTGAGCAACAGAAATATATTCGAAGCATGTTCAGCTTTTGCTGTGACCTACTGGTTTTGAGGAGCTATTTTACATGGTTTATAGACAGGGCAAAAACCCAGCAGGAACTCATTAGCATAATAGGCCACACCCAACAGCACAAACTCATTAGCATATTAGGCCACACCCCTGACAGCACAGCCACACCCACCTTTTGCTTCTTATTCTGTTTAGCTTCTTTGTTGTCAAAACCCAGGGCTTTTTTTGAAGCAGGAACAGCTTTACATGTTAGGCCACACACCCCTAATGTAGCCAATCCTAATGAGTTCCTGCTGTTGGGTGTGGCCTATTATGCTAATGAGTTCCTGCTGGGCGTGGCCAACTCGGGAGCCAGCCGGAACTCCGTTCCTGTGCGTTCCTGTCCCCAAATAGCTCTGGTTTATAGACATGAAGAGTCCATTTGAAGCAGGGTCCCCGTAAAAAGGCTTACTTCTTAAAGATGATGTTTAAAACCTGGATGCAAGCAGGAGAGCTGGGGGACAGCTGATGGATCAGCGTGAGGGTGATCTTGACAATCTCTCCTCTCCGGGTTTCACAGGACAATTCCGTGACCTTAAAAAAAAACAACCCCCCCCACCCCAACAAGTAGTTTACGATTTTATTTATTCCTTTATATGCCACCCCTCAGCCATCAGTCTCTTGAACCAGTAACACAACCAGTATATAAAAATAAAAATTCCAACAATAAACTGTCAGTAAGAACAATGTTCAAATCAGTACAGTCGAATGCCCTGCTAATGGAAAACGTCTGACTCTGCAGCGAAGAAGGAAACACCAGCGAGAAAGACCTGGTCTGAGGCAGCCACTCACCTCGAAGCAGAAGGACACAAGGGCTCAACAGATGACCTCAACTGACAGGCAGGCTCACACAGAAACAGGTAATTCTTTAAGTACACTGGCCTCCTCATTTGGGTCAGTGGCCCCCTACTTTGTTGACCCCACAGGCTTTTTTTGAGAAATGGTAGTGGGCACCACCTCAAATTGGCTGCCATGGGCAGGGCTAATTACCTCCATTAGGAGGTTCCACAGAACGTTTGGAAGTTCAGAGGTGAACAATAAAACAGCGCTCCTAGGTAGGCCGTATGCTACAGAGGATGGTCATGTTTATGCTAATAGGGGGTAGCCAAGACGAGGACGGGGCTCTCTTGAAATACAAAGAAAAGGTCAAGTCCTCAATGGAGGCCCACTGAAGATATTAGCTTGATCTAGAATCTTCTACTAGGTAGAAGGGGAAGAATCGTATGATGTTTAGAGAAGGGAGGATTCTTTTGTATCCGGCTAGTTTGGTATGGAAAGTTGTTGAGGACCGTGGCCTTAAGCGCTTCTGAGGAGAGATTTTGACTGTTCTGTGACACAGGCCACAATTTTAACGAGCCAACAAACATGACTTGAAAAATGTGGCCAAAAAAAGGAAACTAGTATCTGGTAACCATGATCATGTTAATAGCATGGAAGGTTTTGAATTTGGGAATGGGTTCTGCATTTATTGCTTATTTTATTCCCCCCCCCTTTTTACTCTGAAGATGTCAGACTATTTTTTTTTTTGGCAGCCAATTACCTCAATTACAATTTGGTGTTACTGTGATTTCTCTACACACAACTAAAAAAGTAACCTGTACACTTGACTCAAGCTAACAGGAAAAGGGCCAAGTAAGGAATGAATATCTCAATTTGTAGAATCTTGAAAGAGAGAGAGACACAAAGGCTTCATTTATGAAGGGACTACTCAGTCATATACCCACAAGACTCTGGTAGCAACAACAGGTTGGGGGGGGGAGAAACAAGGCACGAGAGGAAAACCCCTCATTGAGGTCTGGTGACTTGGGAACTGGGATTCACCCAAGTCACCAGCAGTAGACCAGTGGTGCCTGGTGTCAGGTGGGGTGGGATACAAATGCTACCTTCTGTCTGCTCACTCCAGGTTCCAGACTCTCCGACTGCTGATTTGGGAGAGAACAAACATCCGTGACGTGGTGGATTTGAGTGTGGCTGACCATACCCCACAGCCTGTGGTAGATAGAGAGCGCGCAACTTGCCCAGGTCATCCCAATGAGCATGGATACAAACCTAGATCTCACTGCTCTGTTAAAGGAACCTAGTTTTTTTTTTAAAAAAGCTACCCCTGAAATTTCCTACTAGGTAGCAAAATGGACAGCGCATCCCTAGCTAAGGCAACCTGCATGATACCACTCTTTCTTGAAAGAAAGGCCATCTTCAGTTTCCTGACAGAATAAACAAAGCACAACTTGAAAATCACTGCTACTCCTTGTCTGGCTTTGTTTAGTTTTTTTGACAAAGTAAATCTTGACTTATAAAAGCTGGAATAAATTCTGTTAAAGATGCCACTGGACTCCTTTTCAGTTTTTCCTCACAGAAGCTTCCTGTTGCTAGAAAGCACTCCTATTGTTTCTAAAAATAAGGGCAATAATCCACGTACAAAGGGGAGAACTTGAACTGGCAGGCCTCAAAATGAACTAATCCAGAGACTTGTGCCTCTTGGCACAACCTCAGTCTTCTCAAACATACAAAGCTTCCGGCTTGCTTTTACCAAGTCTGTGCCAGAAGCAAATGTGACAACGACTTCTTAAAAGGCAACAAGGGAAGGTTTGTTTCACACCAGCAGGTATGAGCAAATCAAACCAGCCCCGTCCATCACTTTAAATCCCCCTTTTGTTGTTTCCACCTGCAAATGCCTCAAGCAAAACCTAGAAAAGCTAAACAAAGACGGAAAAGCTGGGCGCACAGCCACAAACTGTGAACATGGCATTTAGCTTTGCAAAACATGCCTCACCCTAGACTTATGTACATCCTGGCACTCGATGACAGACACTGTGTGAATCTGACTGTCCAAGGCAAGGACCAGATGTGGGCACGGGTAAGAGGTGATGAAGGTCATTGTCCTCTTTGGCCAGGGATTGGCCAAGTCACCAGCTGGGGTGGAACCTGGCCTGGGATTGGGTACCATTGGGGAGGGGTGGAGACAGCAGAGGTTAAAAGGGAGGCTTCTCAATGACTGCCAGGGAGAAGTGGGCTCAGCTCAGGGCTGTGAGAGCTGCTGCCTGTGGAAGCGAGGAATAAGGTAAAGCAACTGTGATGTATTCTATGTGATGCCAACTGAATACATGTGTTATTGTGAACCTCCCCATTCAAACCGAATGTTAAGCTTCATCCTGGGCTAGGATCCAAAGACATCCTATCAGAAGACTAGCCCAGGAAACTGCGTCCAATCACTTCGCTGCTAGCTCCCTGAGCGGGAACGTTCGTGATTGGTCTTTACGTCTTCAACCTCATTGGTTGGTTATTGTACAGTGGGCGTGGCTACATTAGCCGGGAATGTTTGAAAGCGGAGACAGCTGCTATGTTAAAGCTGTTCTGGCTATCAGATGTTGATCCGTGTTAGAGTTGTGTGCGTACCCTGTCTGCTTCCAGTTCTGAAGCCTGGGGAAGACACGGGCCTTGTGACAAGGCAGCGGAAAGGTGGCCAGGCGAGACTGGGCAGGAGGAGCATCACACTAACGGGACTTCTAACAGCAAGCTACCATGCAAGTATGGCCTATTAATGGCAACAGCCAGTTGTGTGATGGTTAGAGTACTAGCCAGGCCCTCTCTCTCAGGGAGCTGATTCTCATGTTATAAAGTCCCTGTGGCCCCCCCCAAGAGGACTTTCTATCATGTATCAATTCCTAGGTGGACACAGGCCCAGTTCAGTTTGGGACTGGACCATGCGAGGGCTTAACCGGTTACCTTCATGCTATTTTCCCAACCTGAAACGGCCCTGGGAAGGTAATATCTGCACTGGTGGGGAAACTTAAACATATACCGATGGCTACACAAAACGTTCCCCAACAGGGCACATATCGGCTCTCTAGGCCTGTATCAGGTAAGGAAAAACGGCACTCATCTTCCAAAAGTTATAAAAGGACTGCTGACAGGGGATATTAAAGATATATTGGGTCAGCCCCTCCTGACTTGTGGAACATCGGAGGGGGGAAGAAAGGTGAATCTCATATTCAAAATGAAGTTGACAAAGGCAACAACAAAAAATCCTAAAAGTTAACTACTATAGAGGATGCCAATCCAATTCCAGTTTGCACAGTTTCAGCTTTTCTGGGGGCTATGCAGGAAAGGGAAGTTTAACTCTAACTTCCACTGAACTCCTTCAGGCCCATAACTAACGTGGGGTCCGCGGGGCCCGGCCCCCTAACGTTTCTTCCAAGCCCCCAAACTGAGCCTTGGCTTCTCCTCCCCCTGAGCTCCACAGTAGCTACGTGCCTGTCAGTGGAACGGGGGCCTGCATGGGATCGCAGGAAGTCATTGCGTGGCCCTTTCCTCTCCCTCTCTCAAGCAGCCAGGAATCTGCAACAACTCCAAGCGCTTCCCCACACTCCCAGACCAGTTCTCCCACCAAAATCCTCAGCTGAATCCTCTCAGCTGAAAGCAAGTAAAAAACCACTCACCCCTCTGTCTCCTGCTCCTGCTCAGAGCTCAGCTGGGTTCCTAGCTACGGGGCTGATGCTTCTTGCTTTTTTAATAACATGTTAAAGGGGATACATATGCTTTTAAAGAGGACATACACAGCCTCAATTTGAATTTTACGGACAGAATGTGACACATGATCTTCATCTTGTCTGGTTGATTCTTTACCTGTGGGTCTAGGGCAATGGTTCTCAAATTTTTGAAGGGAGAGACCAAATTCTAAATTCACCATAGTGTTCCAGACCTTCTTGCAAAGTAACAGCATTTGAAAGGAATTTCAAATAAGTTAGCTCTGGACTGTTATATATGTTTCAGGTTCAGTACTTGTGTAACATAAATAAGCATAAAGTTGTATTTCATGGTCATTGGGCACATTGTGCTGTGGGAAACCCAACCTTGTCAAGTCTCCTCAAACCATCTGTCCCAGCTCACCCTTTTCCACCTCCTCCTCCTCCCTCCTGGCCTCACAATCTGCACACAACAGAGTCACAATCCACCTCTGGGTACCAACCAATATTCTGTCTAAGCTGTGGAGTCTTGTGAACAAAAAATCTACTTTGTGACCTACTGGCATTAAAGCTGTGAGCAAGCAATCTGGCTACGGTGTAAATTAGTTTGCTCTGGAGCCATTCTTCCTGAGCTAAGACAAAAATGTGTGAGCCGGAGGCTAAAAAACTGTGAGCTAGCTCACACTAACTCAGCTTAGAGGGAACACTGGTACCAACCCACAATCTGAGAACCACTGGCATAAGAGATGTAGATTAAAATCTGACTTCTGTTGTGAACTGTGTGGGCTGTCCTGGACAAGGTGTGCACTGTCTTTCTACCTCTCTCTCTCTGTCTTGATTCTCAAATCTGTAAAATGGGCACAGCAGCAACCTGCCTCATGGGGCTTGTCATTATTATAAGAGGGGTGTTATGAAGTGCATTGCGTATCAGAAACAAATAGCAGCTTATTCTCAATATTCTGCTTTGCTTCACACATTCGTAGCAATATGGTAGAGCTTGACAAAAAAAAAAGCAGGGCTTTGCGAATTAGCTGTGGGGACAGAGGCAACAAGAGTGCATTTGATTTTACTGAACCCCAATGGGAGATGAAACCAGCAGGCTGGTGGGACTAACACAGATCAGAGTGCTGATCTAGGCAAAGCACTTGGGGTTAGGGGCCTTGCACAGGAGAGGGAGAGAAAGAGGGTAAGAGCCCGAAGAATGCAGGGGGGAAGGAGCCCCTTTCCCCCCCTCTCTGCCCCTACCTCTCAGTGAAATTTCAAGAGCCAAAAATAAGCTGTTGAAATTCTGAGTAACAAAGACTTACGTGGCTTTCTAATTTTTCTGTAAGAAACAGTGTCGCTCCATCAAACGCTTTGGCTTTTAGCTGAAATTCGGAGTGGCTGTACAACAGCGCAAGCCGCAAACGTCTGGATTCCAGCTCTGGGCTAAATTCGACGCGATATTGGTACAGTTGCCAGTCCTTGGG